AATTCTGCTGTGGCTACCCTGGATTAATAAAGGGACTAAGTCGAGAAGAAAATGAATGAATGAATAACAGGGTGAGAATGTGGTAAAATCTGAAAACGTGGTAAAAATCAGGGGGCTTTTCTGTTTCTGGATTGCTTTTTAAAACACTATTGGTTGGGTTTAGAGAAGTGGGTGAGCGCTGGTCAATCGGTGCTTCAGAAAACACTATCGGTTGGGTTTAGGGAAGGAGGAGGATGGGTCAGTTGATTGGTCAGTCAGTCAACAGCTGCCACTGGTGGATTTACATGAGAACAACAGGCACAAATGGCACTCATGAGAGAAATTTGAGATCTGAAAAAGCATACACAGCGCCCTCTAATGGATATGCGAAAACAAAACAGCAAAAAAACATACCTCCTGAAACATATTAAGCACTCTCCAGAAATGTATATAGGGGTACATTCTCAGAATAAGCCTGAGTTGTATATTTTCATTTGACATTCATAACCACAGTTTCAAAATGTAATTTACATATTAGTTTTAATAATTAATAAGTTGCACAACTAAACTGAAAATGTAATACCCCAATTTAATTGATGCGTGTAACATGTGCAAGCAGAAATGCTAGCAAAATTATCATTAGGATGTAGGATACTAAAGCAGTCATATTGTGAAATATTATTACCATTTAAAATAACTGCTTTATATTTGTTATATTTTAATATGTCATTTATGATAAGCTAAATTTCCAGCATCATTGCTCTCACCATCATATCACTCGATCCTTCAGAAATCATTCTAATTTGCCTGTTTTGTGTATAATATTGTGTTACGGTTGCGATATATTATTATATTTGTAGGATTTTTGCCTCCTGTTCTCTCTCTCTTTCTCCCAGCCTGTCATTTCCTTTAGGTCCGTCCTCGCGACAGCCGATTGGTCGGGGGACCAGTCAATCATCATTGGGCAAGTGGCACAGTCATATAAAAGGACGCCAAGAAAAGCAGATGACGGCGCTTTTCCTTTGATCTTGTTTTTGTGTGTTTTTGCTGATATGATTTTGTTTTTCGTTGTTTTTTCTTAACTTTCGTTTGGGTAAAATTATTTTCTATTACTTTTGCCCATTTTGAGCTACTTTGATTTTTGTATACATTTATTTCGATTGTTTTTGTTGGTTACTCTATGGCCCAGCTCTTACCTGACAATATTATGAGATGTCACTGAGAGTTCACTCTTTAAGTTCAGTACAGGAAAGTTTACGGCGCTTGGTGCTGAAGACCTTTCTTTTCTTTTTCTTTTCACGCTTCTAGCGAGGTAAGGGGTTTGTTTATGAGTTATAATTGTTTTGTTATTTTTATTTCTTTGATTTGGCTTCACTATCGTTCGCTTACGCTTGAGTTAACCTAATTTTGTTTGATACTTTGTTTGAATTTGCCCCTTTATTATTATTGTAAATATTTCTCTCTTTTTTTTTTTTGGATATATATTTGGACATTAATCTGATTTCACTTTTTGTACATTAAATCACTTTTGTTGGCAGTTCTGTTGTGTGTCTTTTGCTTGCACCCATCACTTGTGAAAGTACCACACTTTTTAAATGTGGTTACTTTTACCCTAGACTTACAATTGTAAATAAATATTGATGATTATTAATATTGAAAAACATTTGTGCTTGTTTTAAACCATGTTACATTTGCTTCAGGGTTTTACAGTGAGTTTAAAAAGACTTGCAAGTGAAATGTATAGCATTATAAATGCCTGTTGTCGCTTTTGATAAACTTAATAGCTTTTGAACAGCTTTCTAACTTAGGTCATCGACATTTATTCAAATCCAAACAAGGTTATTTTCTACCAAAAAAAAGGTTTATTATAGAATAAGTCATTATTCACCAGATTCAGCGCTCGAGTTTGCACGTTTAATGGAAAGCAGACGCAATTTTGTTTAAAAGAGAAACGAGTTGAAAAGAGTTAAAAATAGCTTGTGTACATTTTCTAGCGATCGTGGCAGCAGTAATTCATCTAATGATGATCAGATGATGGAGGAGAGCGTTACAGCCGGGCAAACGTCCAGACATGCAGTGCAATCGAGCGTGATATCATCATGCAAAGAGCAGGTTCAGAAAATACAAGACTCCAGCCTGCAAAACGGGGTATTCGCTCTATAATTTTGAAACTTTCTGCGATAAACTCAGTAACTTAAAAAAGCGGAGCTGCTTCAGTCTTGTAGTGTGCGCTTGGCTTACTGGGATAGTTCAACAAAAAATACAAATTCTGTCATCATTTACTTAGTATCTTCAGGTTGTCACCAAACCGGCTGGTGTTTCTTTCTTCTGTTGAACACAAAAGAAGATATACTAAAAAGGTTGGGGGAAAAACAGCCATTAGCTAACTTTCCATCCACCTATTTTTATTCATATTTTAGAATATTGCATGAAAAATGCTTGATGGAAATGCCAAGATGTGCATAAAATTTGAGAAAAATATAGGATAAACATTTTATTCAATATCAATAGAAATGTGCATAAACTACTGTTATTAAACTACTATTATTTACGGCGACGCAGTGGCGCACTAGGTAGTGCTGTCGCCTCACAGCAACAAGGTTATGTGAATTGGGTTAAGTGAAACGGTACAGGTGAATTGGGTTGGCTAAATTGTCCGTAGTGTATGAGTGTGTGTATAAATGAGTGTGTGGATGTTTCCCAGAGATGGGTTGCGGCTGGAAGGGCATCCGCTGTGTTAAAAACTTGCTGGATTATTTTTTGTTGAATTAGAAAAAATTAAACATAGTCTTCGAGGTTCAGTGGTCAAATTGTCTGATATTTGCTTGCCATTTTTGGAACATGTCAAATCTCTGAGACTTGAGGCAATTACTGTGGAGTGAATGGTAGCCAATCTTGCATTTTTGTTTTGATCTGTGCTTTCCAGTCGAGTATTAGTGCTGCTGATATAGCACAAACATACAACTTTTTCTTGACATAAAAAAACAAGTTTTAAGAACGTGCCACCCCCCAGCCTATTTAGTTTAATACATTTTCCCTTTTCTCTCGCCTTTTTTATTTTATTTATTTATTTATTTATTTTTTATTTATTTTATTATTATTGTTTATTCTACTTAATACACCATGCTGTCAACCTCAACGTCTAGTACCGACCTGTTTATATGCTCAATTTGAAAAATTTATGCACATCATACATGTTTATGCATGTCATACTGTGTGTCGCACAAGATGAGGGTTATAGTGTTGTTTATTTTTATTCTTTTAATCAATTTTGTACTGTTATATATATATATTTTTTCTGTTTGTACTGTTATTGTCTCTTCTTACTTTTGTTTGTTAACTGTCATAAAAATCTAATAAATAAATCTTATAAATTCTTAAAAAAAAAAAAGCTAGATAAGTTGGCGGTTCATTCCGCTGTGGCGACCCCGGATTAATAAAGGCACTAAGCCTACAAAAAATGAATGAATGAATGAATGAAACACATTTACCAAATAAAGTCCAGCATGAGCATCAAAAATGGGTGTGATAGCACAGCATCAATAGACAAACCAGTGGAGTGAGCACATTGTAAAATGCCTCAACCAAAGTCTGTCATCACAGTAGTTGAGTATTATTAATATCTTATTATTACTTCCAGAATGAAAGCATCTAAAAAAGTGCCTCAAGCCTCCAAAAGCCACTGAACGTTGATTATGTTACATCTTCTGAGACGTAAGTAATCTATTAAATAGGAAAAAAGGCCTACAGTGGCTTTTACCACAGTTTTTTTCTTTTTAGTATTTCCCGCCAGTTAATCAGGAAGTGATGATTTTATTCTCTTTGACTCATTGGATAAAAACGCTGCTTTATTTTTTTCATGCAATATTCCAGTTTTTAACATAAATCTAATCGTCATCTTTGGATGGGACCACAGCTATTTTTAGGGCGTACTTTCACTAGGCACAGTTGCCTTAAACCATGCCAAAGCGCGCTAGTGCCCCCTTCCCTCTCCTGCGACGGCCTGCACTCACACTGCATCTTAACTTTCGAGCCAGAGCATGCTTACGTCATCGATGATGCGACTTTAGTTGAACAGGAAGAGAAGCGCTCTCGCTCAGCACAGTGGACATTGCTTCAGTTATAACGTTTTGTATTATTTTTAGTCGTTTGGGATGCAGTGACACAGTCAAATATTTGACGAACAGATCCACAACTTTTGACGCTTGACAAAATATCAGTAAAGTCCTCATGCTGCAGGTATTAGGTTTGCAGAGGGTGCAGCTGACGTGCAGCGAGGGGTTTGCATCTTTCATAAACTATGACAGTTCGCGTTCATTGTAAAGTATGAATATGAAACTGTCCCTTAAAAGTGACGTCGCGTCTTCAGTTAGTTGCTCAGGCGTGTTTGCACTCATATTACAAGCGTACTGCACCAAAGCCCAACCGAACGAGATATATCCAGCTGCTGGCCCGCAGAACCACACACAATCTAGGACACACGATTTGGGCAAACCATCTATGGTAACTAACTCTTTATTATATCTTATATTATTATTATTTTATTTATTAGCATATATTATTATTATATATTATATATTATATAATTATATCTCATTATTATTATTATATCGTTACGATTATTTTAACATCTCTGCAGTTTCTGAACTCAAATTATGTAAATAAAAATAATTGGTTAAGACACTTATGACTTTATTCATGTGTTTACATACACAAAGAAAACATTAGACCGTCTAATTGTAAGATTAAGTGTAAACTAATTCAAGATCGTAATATTATCATAGCTACTTGGTTAAAATCACTTTGTTGTAAAATATAAAAAGCAAACAATAATATGTCACTTTAAAATAAATTAGCCAACTATAGTTAATCATTTAAACAATATATATAGTTATAAAATGATTATCTTAACTGATTATCTGATTATAATTATAAGTTTATATATAAACTACTATCTTTTACTAAACTGTCACAGCTGTTATATATATATATATATATATATATATATATATATATATATATATATTATTGTCAGATAATAATGACTGATCAGCTATAATGAATGATTAAAAACTGTACAGTCTATGAATGGCGATCGGAACAATGCTCCCCATTCGGCCGTCTCGATTGCAATATTTGTGAAATAAAGTAAATGCTATTGTTTATTGTGTACAATATTTATTAACCATATATATCAAAATATATCGATGACGATGTCCAAGAATACGTTAATAACATTAACATCCGCCGTAACCTTATATGGTTTGCCTAGATTGTGTGTCCTAGATTGTGTGTATCTAAAACGTGTGTGGTTCTGCGGGCCTGCAGCTGGATTTTATTGAACCGAACAGTGCTCTAGCACACCTCTTTCAAGCGGGCCAGGGCCGGCACACTGAACCATGCCTGGGCCCAATTTGGAGCACTCACACTTGTCAAACAAACCGGGAAACGCCAGGGCACGGTTCAGATAGCCTAGTGCAAGTACGCCCTTAGTTCCTACAAAAAATGTCAATGGCTCCATTTTTCCAACATTCTTCAGATTATCTTCTTTGGTGTTTGACAGAAAAAACAAATTAATAAAGTTTAGAACCACCTGAATGTGAGTAAACAATGGAGAGGCGTCTGAATGCAGATTTGGTGCAGTGCAATCTGAGCTGCATCCCATGCTTTTTAATGCCCTCACCTAACCCCACCCCTTACTCCACCCGGCACTCCTTTGAGTGCATTGTGTCTGACATTGCATCGCTGAGTGACGCAATCTCAGCTTGCATCATGAAGGCTGCATCCAGATACTATTGAAATAATGAGTGTACTATCCCTTTAAGAAAGAGTGTGCATAATAAACACACATGCTGAGCTGATGAGAAGTGAATCAAAAGCACCTTCCGTTGTGTAAAATGACCCTTCATGGTTATCCAGCTTAAAACATCTCCAGATTCTGTGAAACGTAGGCCTTCAAGTTACTTTTCACATGCTTTCCAGGCAGAACTGCAGTCTGGAGCAGGACTCGCTTTTGCAGTTTTGAGCTCCCCAAGCGATTTGTGGACTCCTCCAGTACTCCTGCTGTTTCCGTGCTCAGATCTGCTGTGTTTTCCGCTGAAGAACGCAGCATCTCTGACTTCTCGCTCCGGAGTTTCCTCTATGTATCCCGGAGCTTTGCGTTGATTTTGCCGGTTGTGGTTCCTCAGGTTTCCTCACCCCACGCAGCTGCAGTTGGCTGCTGAAAGCCATTTGATGGTCTGCCAGCTGGTCTGGGCGTCCATGAAGGACACGGTCTCGAAGCGTGTGGGTCTGCAGCAGGGCTGCATGCTCACGTTGCGGCTGGAAACGCTGCCGTTGTCTGTCAGCGTTTTCAGGGCCAGGTCGTAGTTCTTGCGGGCGCTCATGCACGTCCCCACACAGTATTTAAACAGCACGATCTCGTCCGAGTCGTAACCGAGGCCGAGATCTCGCACCTTCATCTCTTTCCTCTCCAAACGACAGTCCTGGCTGCTTCGGCCACGCGCACGATTGCGGCGCTCCTTGCGTTTTCTTGGAGGTTTGCGTGTACTCGAGGAGTTTGTATGGGAACGCTGCCAACGGATTCGATGACTCTCACCTTCCTCTGCCAGGGATGAGTCTAAGGAAAAAAGATAATATTTTAAATGATGCAACATGGTAGTAATTAAATTTTTTATGTTATTTCTTGTCAACAACAAGTTATAATACAACAATACTACTTAATCTGCATACATTGGCTACCTTAGGGTGCTTTCACACCTGCCTTGTTTAGTTCGATTGAATCACACTAGAGTTCGTTTCTCCTTTTGGTACGGTTCGTTTGGGCAGGTGAGAATGCAGCAATCGTACTCGACTGCGCACCAAAAGCGGACCAAATAAGCGTACCGAGACCTGCTTGAAGAGGTGGTCTCGATACGCTTTCAAACGAACCCTGGAGCAGTTCGTTTGTGGTGAGAATATGATTCGTACTAAAACAGGTCCAACCGCAAAAAGTACTGCGTGTTTTGGACTAATTCAGCTGCCGTAGGCCGATGCGCTGTGCATTATGGGATATGGAGGAAAAATATTTGTTGACAGCGCATTACCAACAGAGAGAGAGAGAGAGAGGGGAAAACATTACCTGATGGATCGTTGGTAATATTTCCGCAAGATGAGCATGTCGCAGTTTAGCTAAATTAATTCACAGCTCCTCCTGAAGTGACGAGCGATGCATTAAACACTGTTTTCCAGCCGCGGCCGCGCTTCATTCTCGAAATGTATAGTTTGGCTAAAGCAGTCGTCCCTCCAGAGAAAAAAGGTTTTGTTTACCTGCGGGAGTTCATTGGCATTTTCCCGCACGTGAATTCTGACCAATCAATAAGCAGTTTAGGAACTATGTTTAACAACATCTGGCCAATGAGAGATGTGGATTTTGTCAGATGACTGCATTTTGGTTCGTTTCAACTGGTTCGGACCAAAGCCAGCAGTGTGGTGTGAAAACGACCCAAAGACGGCAGAAAATGCAACAATGTATCATTTATTGCGCTTGGTCCGGAGCAAATGAAGCGAACTACAGATGTGAAAGCACCCTTAGAAATCCTAAACAAAAATGGGTTAAGGAAAATGAGGACCAAATATAAGAGAATACATTCATCCTCTATTAGGCAACCCGGGCTGATTATGGATACATACCCATGTCTACATTCCTGGGGACAGCGAAATACGTAACTGGAGGTACGTCTGCTCACAGTTTTTGTTTTTGCAAATACACCAGGGGCCTCTCATTTCTCTTGTGCGTCTGCTTCTAAGTGCAATATACACTTCAGCCGACTAGGATAGCTTGTTGTCGACTGAACGACTGACCACCACCCTCTTCTCTAAACCAAACCAGCAGTGTTATCAAAAGCAGTCTAGAAAACGAAAATCAGTCGCAGCCGTGTGATTTCACCACGTTTTCAGCCTGTTGCATTTGTTTTACCTGATTTCTGAAACCGTTCTTTACAGAACTCAAAACCCTGTTGTCACGGTCAACTCTGCTCTGCGTTTTAAATTTACCGGCGTATGGGCCGAGCTACAGGGCAAACTGGTAACACCAGAAAAGCCATCTGTACATTGGTCAGCAGTCAGTTGGCAGCGCTAAAAGGAACAGAGGCTGTCGGCGAAATCATACCGCCCCATAGCAATCATTTTAAAGACGAAATAAAGCCAGGAGTATCTCCAGCTACATAAATCACACTCTCCAGAAATGTAGATAAGGGTACATATCCACAATAAGCCTGTGTTGCTTTAGACACAGTTACTCCGTTTGAGATTGTGCATCATCTTCATTGGTCTAAAGACAGACTAGTAAATATTAATAATGATATAAATCTTACATGTACTGATGCAAGCAAGCTCCTGTCACCCAGTGCCACATGTTTTGGTCAGAAATGAAATACTAAATACTGGGGTCAAACTTTGGGTACCTTTAAAACTGTTGCTCCGACCATGATGACAGCAATATTTGGTGAATTTTATTTTGTATAAAATAAAATAAAATAAAATAAAATAAAATAAAATAAAATAAAATAAAATAAAATAAAACAAAACAAAATAAAATAAAATAAAATTAAATTAAATTAAAAAATAATTAATTAAACTAAATTAAATTGAATTAAATTAAATTAGAATCAATTGAATTGAATTGAATTGAATTTTATTTTTATTTTATTTTATGCATGTATGTGTATGTATGTATTTGTTGTTATTATTTATTTTATTGTATGTTTGTATTTATTAATTAAATTTAATTAAATTTAATAACATTTAATTTAATTTAGTTTATGCATGTCCTCCCTGCGTTCACATGGCTTTCCTCCGGGTGCTCCGGTTTCTCCCACAGTCCAAAGACATGCGGTACAGGTGAATTGGGTAGGCTAAATTGTCCGTAGTGTATGAGTGTGTGAATGAGTGTGTATCGTTGTTTCCCAGAGATGGGTTGCGGCTAAAAGGGCATCTGCTGCATAAAAATGTGCTGGATAAATTGGTGGTTCATTCCGCTTTGGCGACGCCGGATTAACAAAGGGACTAAGCCGAAAAGAAAATGAATGATTTAATTTAATTTAATTGAAATTCATTTATTCATTCATTTATTTTCTTTTCGGCATTTATCAATCCGGGGTCGCCACAGCGGAATGAACCGCCAACTTATCCAGCCTTTGTTTTACACAGCGGACGCCCTTCTAGCCACAACCTATCTCTGGGAATTATTTAATTTAATTTAATTTAATTTAATTTAATTTAATTTAATTTAATTTAATTTAATTTAATTTAATTTAAGTTAAGTTAATTTAATTTAATTTATTTAATGCACTTATGTGTAAGTATACATGCCTGTATGCATGTATTTATGTATTTATTTATTCCTATCAGATATTATTTAATTCTTTGATTGTTTTAACATCATATCATCATGTCAACATTCCTCTACGTTAACTTTCTTTACATGCACATTATTCTCTTTATATGCTCCACACACACACACACACACACACACACACACACACACACACACACACACACACACACACTCTGAAAATCATTTGGCTTTATACTGACTTTGGCACAAGACAGTGATTTTTTTTTACGCTTCTTTAAACAATACAGCTTCTGGCACATGACTTTGGTGCATTAAAATAGTGTGTATTCCAGCAGTCACCTCCGCACACTGTAACACAACACTGGCATTTAGAAAGGTGATAACACGAGCGACCCTGGTTCACACCTCGCCAGCTGATTGTGTAACAGTGTGAAATTCCTCCCGCCGCTATACTGCCACTGTTCTGGACTATTATTGTACTGTAACCCATACAAATACAGCCCTTAAAAACATCCCACAACGTGCCACATCATGTTTAGAGGGATTTGTTCAAAGTCTGAAGGAGGGGAAAGCCTTAGAATATGATTCAAACTTTCTCCAGGCGAAGATTGCAGTAATTAGCTTCCAAGGGAGCAATTTGCTGTGTCAAAACCTGCACGGAGGAGCTCTGGATTATTTTGTAGTGGAACACAAAATTGATAAGGAAGAGCGAGCTGAGATTATTCTATCGCATGCATGAGCTGGGGAAAACACGTCTAATGTACTGGCTGGAAAAACTAGTAGACAACATCTGTAGGTATATAAAAACATAATCCATATTAAAGGTGAAGTGTGTTTTTGTTTTTTTTAATGTGTTATCACTTAGAAATTGTTGATATTATTAAAAATAAAGTGGTCACGCTTTACAATAAGGTTCATTAGTTAATGTTAATTAATGCATTTACTAACATGAACAAACAATGAACAATACATTTACTACTGTATTTGTTCATCTTAGTTAACATTAGTTAATGAAAATACAGTAGTTAATTGTTAACTCATGGTGCATTAACTAATGTTAATAAGCATGGACTAAGATGTTAATAATGCATTAGTAAATGTTCAATTATGATTAATAAATGCTGTATATGAGTTGTTCATGATTAGTTCATGTTAGTAAATGCATTAACTAATGAACCTTAGTGTAAAGTGTTGCCAATAAAGTAGCCATTCAAAGAGGGTGGAGGTGGTTTGTTTATTAAAAAAAGTGTTTATATGACTTTATAGTAGTTCTGCCAGAAGATGAAGAAAGAATATAAAACAAGAAAATAAAAGTTTGTATTAAATAAATATTGTATTTTATATATATATATATATATATATATATATATATATATATATATATATATATATATAGTTCAAGTCAGAATTATTAAACCCCCTGTAATATTCCCCCCCCGCCGTTTATTTTTTTTCCCCTAATTTCTGTTTAACAGAGAGAATATTTTTTCCTATTGAAAAAATATAGCTTAAAGGGGCTAATAATTTTGACCTTAAAATGTTTTTAAAAAATTAAAAACTGCTTTTATTCTAGTCGAAATAAAACAAATAAGACTTTCTCCAGAAGAAAAAATATTTTCAGACATTTGGACAATTTCCTTGCGCTGTTAAACATCATTTGGGAAATATTTTAAAAATGTAAAAAATTTCGAAGGGTAGCGAATAATTCAGACTTCAACTATATATATCTAATAACAATTATACATTAAAATAAATACATAAATGTTTTAGTTTTGTATACTTTTGTATTATATGTATGTTTGTGTTTATTTATGAATAATATACACAGTACACACAAACACAGTAACACCCAGTACATAAACAAACACACACACACACACACACACACACACACACACACACACACACACACACCCACACACATTGTAAACACAAACTTTAATTTTAAATGCAATTAATCGCAATTGATCATTTGACAGCACTACTGCAAAAGTATCTACAAAAATGCTTTAAATAAAAAAATGACTAATTTTAAAACAAGAAATTATTTTAACGAGAATATACTTAATTTATCAAAAGCGTCAGTAAACACATTTTAACCAATTTGCAACTAATTCTAATTTAAAAAATAGTAGTATTTCTAATAATGCTGTCCTTTTGAACGTTCTTTTTTCTAAATAATCAATGTTAGAGGTGACGCAGTGGCGCAGTAGGTATTGCTGTCACCTCACAGCAAGAAGGTCGCTGGTTCGAGCATCGGCTGGGTCAGTTGGCATTTCTGTGTGGAGTTTGCATGTTCTCCCCGCGTTCGTGTGGGTTCCCTCCGGGTGCTCCGGTTTCCCCCACAGTCCAAACACATGCAGTATAGGGGAATTGCATAAACTAAATTGTCCGTAGTGTTTGTGTGTGAAGGAGTGTGTATGGGTGTTTCCCAGTGATGGGTTGCAGCTGAAGGGGGCATCCACAGTGTAAAACATATGCTGGATAAATTGGCGGTTCTGTTGAATAAAGGCACTAAGCTGAAGAAAAATGAATGAATAAATAAAATGTAGAAATGATCATGGATAAATTAGCATTTTCGGGGGGTTATGATGACGTAAGGATAAAAAAACCCCAGCTTTTTATCAGATAAAATTCTTGCAAAAAGTTAAAAATCCAGCCAATCTTAAACTTTTGCATGCTTGTGTGTGTTTTAATGTTTGTTCAGCATCCACTGAGCACAGCTTTTTAAAGAATAGTGTGCAGCGATAGAAACAGCCAGTTTCACAGCTGACTTCCTGCAGAGTGTAAACACTGAGACTCTGTTTGTTTGTCCAACATGTCAACTTGTGGCTTGACCAATGTTGATCATGTTTATCAAAGCGCGCAAAACAAACAGTGTCTTCCACATAGACACCAGTATTAAACGTCATAGGATCCTTAAAGCTAATTGAAGAGCAAACAGACAACATCATTTAGTCTGTACGTGAAGTGCACATGTCCTCACAGGAGATACACACGGTAATTTAGCATTCCGCTCGTGTTTCGGCATTATTATGTGCGCGGATATTTTATTTCCACTGAACGTATGGCAAAGAAGGATAGTAGAATGATTTGCAAAGAATTCGCCTTGAAGCAAGATATCAGCCGTCAATGTGACATAACCCAGAAGCACAAGTTAAGAAGTATTCAATTTCAACAAGGACTGTTGAGTTAAAGCAATAGTTGACCCACATATAAATATTTACTCACTCTAAAATGATCCTAAACCTGTATGGGTTTCCTTTTTCTGTTGAATAAAAAAGAAGACTGAAGAATGTTGGAAACCTGAAACCATTGATTTTCATAGCAGGAAAAACAAATAATGTGGAAGTCAATGATTAGCAACTTTCAACATTCTTCAAAATATCTTCTATTTTGTTCTGCAGAAGAAAGAAATTCAAACAGGTTTATGACAAGTAAATGACGGCTGAATTCTCTTATAGATTTGGGTGAACTTTCACTTCAAGACGTTTTCTATTATTTTGAAGAATGATGGAAACCTGTAACCATTGACCTCCATAGTAGGAAAAACATGTACTATGTCAAATAGTAAGTCAATAGTTACCCGTTTTCAACATTCTTCAAAATATCTTGTTTTTTTGTTCTACAGAAGAAAGAAACTTAAAGCAAGTTTTTGACAAGTGAATGACGGCTACATTTTCTTTATAGATTTGGGTGAACTTCCATAGTAGGAAAAACAAATACTGTGGAAGTCAATGGTTACCAGTTTTTAACATTCTTCAAAATATCTTGTTTTTTTGTTCTACAGAAGAAAGAAACTTAAAGCAGGTTTGTGACAAGTGAATGACGGCTACATTTTCTTTATAGATTTGGGTGAACATCCATAGTAGGAAAAACAAATACTGTGGAAGTCAATGGTTACCTGTTTTTAACATTCTTCAAAATATCTTCTGTTATGTTCTACAGAAGAAAGAAACTCAAAATAGATTTTGAACAAGTGACGAATGAGTAAATGTGACAGAATTTTTAGTTTTTGGGACTGAACTGTCTGGAAATAAAAAGTTAAAGATCATCCACAAATACATATGTACTTATCATTTACTCACTCTTAAATTATTTTAAACTTGTACGAGTTTCCTTTTTTGTAAAATGAAAAGAAGATATTTTAAAGAATGTTGGAAAACTGCAACCATTGACATCCACAGTAGGAAAAACAAATACTATGGAAGTCAATAGTTACCCGTTTTCAACATTCTTCAAAATATCTTGTTTTTTTGTTCTACAGAAGAAGGAAACTTAAAACTGGTGAAGTGTAGATTATGACAGAATTGTCAGTATTTTTTTAACTTTAAATCTTGCATAAATTATTTATCATTTTTATTATAGAATTTATATAAATGTAAATCTTTTTAAAATATTTTTCCAAGTGATGTTTAGCAGAGCAAAGACATTTTTTTCTACATTATTTCTTATTTTATTGTTATTCTGGAGAAAATCTTGTTTAATATTTGCTATGGAGTCAAAAGGTTACAACAGTCAATGGTTTTCAACATTCTTCAAAATATCTCCTTTTCTGTTCTACAGAAGAAAGAAACTTAAAGCAGGTTTGTGACAAGTGAATGACGGCTACATTTTCTTTATAGATTTGGGTGAACTTCCATGGTAGGAAAAACAAATACTGTGGAAGTCAATGGTTACCGGTTTTCAACATTCTTCAAAATATCTTCTTTTTCTACAGAAGAAACTCAAAAGAGTTGTTTTGTCCAAATAATGACTTGCCTAATTAAAGTAACTTGCCTAATTAATCCAAATAAGTATTTAAATTACACTTTAAGCTGAATATTAGTGTCTTACAAAGTATATAGTAAAATATTATGCATCATCATGGCAAAAAGAAATGAGTTATTAAAACTATTGCTTCAAAATGTGTTAACGAAAACTCTTTTAAACATCACTTAGGAAATATTGCAAATAAATAGTTAATAATTTTATCTTCAACTGTACGGTATGTCAGCTGTTTCCTCATTTCTTTTCTCTTCAGGAATCAGAAAAAAAGTTTGATATTTAAATGAATTACAATTTAATCGCGACTCGAGAAATGTTTGGCATCTGAAACAGCTCAGATAAGAATTAGATCCATGATATGCAACGCAGCCTTCAGTACCGTATACACACAGTCTGTGACAACATGTAATTTAGAAATTGCTCACATCTTTCAGCAGGAGTTGTTGATGGCTTAATTTTCCTGTGAGTACAGACCAAAAGTCTCCTATTTTAATAACAGGCTTTGCAGCAACGTCAAAGCTGGATGAGGCTTGTAAACTAAAGAGCAGCCGAAATGGGAAGGTTGTCTCAACAGTTACATCTCAATAATAATAATAAGAGTCAAAAGTGCAATTATATGTTTGTTTGTTTTAGGTGTTTTTTTTTTGTTTGTTTGTTCGTTGAATTTGTTTTTTCTCTAAGTTGTTTTTTTAAATCATTAAAATATTGAAGGATTATTTCTAAAAGGTCTGGCTCAGTTAGTGTCTAAAATAATTATTCTGTAATGTGAGTGACTTTACTGTCTTTTGTAGAGTTGCTTTAATGGGCTTTTCTTTTCATAATTACTGAATTTTACAATATTAACATTGTTAGTGTTACTATTTTTGTTTCTTCATATTTGACCTGTATTATAAGCAGGCACGTGCACACATAGGGCTCAACCTGTGCAGTGCACATGCCCTTTTTAGTCTTGGATAGTAAGTGCCCTTCCAAAATGATCAATCGTGCCCCCGCAACACCACCCCCCTCCCCCGCTTTACAGTACGCGCGCGACAACAACCCTGATCAAAACATGTGCAACAACACCACTCTTCAGTACGCGCGCGTGGCGGCGGCGGCGGCAGCGACGGCGACGACGACGACGACGACAACGACAACCCCCCCCACCGGTCCTCAAAAAATGTATCCTGCACATGCCCTTTGGAAAGTCTCTGCACAGGCCTGATTATACGCTTATAAATGTGTGTTAAAAATTCAGGGAAACAATAACAATAATTATAAAAATTCTGACAACTGTTTGACAAATGCCAAAGAAATGTGTTGTTTTTTTTAAACTAACATCAACATAGTAACTGTAATAAATATGCTCATTTTTACCATCTGATTTTAATGCATTAACTACCATTTAGTAAAGAGACCTTATTGTAAAGTGTATTATCCCTTAACTCTGTGGTTAGTTGATATGGAAAATATAAACAGATCTTTTAATATAATGTTAGCATATACTTGCTTTGTGAATTTTAGTTTTGAGTTTTTACTGCAAATGTCACATCTATAACGCTGGAATTGCTCGTATACAGTGATGAACTGACCATAGAGTCGTGCCCACGGTGCTCTGCTCTGCCGCTCATCCACATCTTTCTGAGATCTTCGACGCTCTGGCGGGTTTGAAGAGGCTTTCAGATTATTAGGACGGGGTTCTTCAGTCTCCTCCTGCAGAAAATGTCCATCAACCAGACCCAGAAAACACACAAACACCAGCAGCATCACCTGCAAGAACAATCAATTATTATGTTTGGGATGAAGTACAGTAGAAGTAAAATGATTCGCCCTCCTACGATTTTGTTTTCTTTTCAATTATTTCCGAAACTATGTATAACAGATTCAGGAATTTTTCACAGTATTTCCTATAATATTTTTTTCTTCTGGAGAAAGTCTTATTTGTTTTATTTTGGCTAGAATAAAAGCAGTTTTTAATTTTTTTAAAAACATTTTAAGGTCAATATTATTAGCCCCCTTAAGCAAAATTTTTTTAAAATCGTCCACAGATCAAACCATCGTTATCGAACCATCGTATTAGAAACATTAATAATTACAAATTTAGTTTTTATATATTTACAGCAGGAAGTTTACCATATTTCCTCATGGAACATCATCTTTATGTAATATTCTGATGATTTTTTTACGCCATTAATGGATTTGGAGTTTTTGGTTTTGGATTATTTGGATTTTGGCTCCAGGGTCACATATCAGAAGATCAGAAAGAGATTTATTCAACCAGGCTCATTCTGAAAACATACTCCTGTATACATTTGTGGAGAGTGTCAAATACATCCAAGGGGGTACATTTATTTGCAGTTTTTGTTTTCGCGAATTCACCAGAGGCCGCTGTGTATGCTTTTTGAAATCTCAGATTTTGAGACTGACTGACTGACTGACCAACCAACCGACCGATCGACTGACCCACCCTCCTCCGTCCCTAAACCCAACCAATAGTATTTTAAAAAGTACAGATTGACCCGCTTACCCACTTCCTTAAACCCAACCAATAGTGTTTTCAAAAGCAATCCAAAAAAAGAAAAGTCCTCGCCTGATTTGTACAACATTTTCAGATTTTACCACATTCTCACCCTGTTATTTACTTGTTTGTTTTGGTTTTTGCCCTCTGTTCTTGTTTTACAAGCTTTTTTGGAATCGTTCTTCACCACACCCAACCTCTTTGTCTGGGGGCAACTCTGCTCTGCATCTCAAGTTCACCGACGTACGTATTGAGCTACTGGACAAACTGGTAACAGCGGAAAAGTTGACCACACGGAGGTAAGCAGTCAGATGGTAAGCGAGAAAAGGAACGGCATCATAACGCCACGTAGCGTTTGTTTTAAAGACGCAGTCTTCAAAAATGTATGTAGGGCTAAATTTTCAGAATGAGCCTATGTTGGATTTATTGGTATATTACAAGGAATTTGTTTTCGTTACAGAAGTATCCACAGTGTAACAAAATGACATTGACAGGACAAGAACACAGATGTTAAATGATTTAAAAAAATAAGTAAATAGAGAACTCAAAACATACAAATTTACAAATGTATATTACAATATATACACAATATAGTATGTATAGTTATATTATTGTTATATATGTGCAAACTAAAATGTAAACTGAGTGCGTTGTTAAATAAATAAGTGTATATACAACTGAAGTCAGAATTATTAATTTTTAATAATTAATAATTCATTTTTTTTTAAATGACCAGTTTGTCAGTTTAGCTCGTGGTGTTACGTCGGCGGAGCAGAGGCCCGGAGGAGGAGGAGGAGCCAGCGGTTCCAGAAATTAGGTAAGATGAAAAACAGAATTCAAAAAATAAAAGCGAACGAGTTCACGACGGGGCAAGAATGCGGCGAAACCCTAAATTGCGGTCAAAATCGGACGAGGGCTTTTGCTTTTCTTTTCCGGACGGCTTTTGCAAATCACCGCTTGGGTTTAGGAATGGAGGAGGAGGAGGGTGCAAACGCCGCGTGCTCTCAAGAGGCGTTCGAGATGCGAAAAAACAATTTGTTCAGATTTGCGAAACAAAAACTGCAGAGATACGTACCTCACGGGACGTAAATTGCGGTTTTCCAGAAACGTCCACGGGTCTACGTTTCCACAATGAGCCTGGGTTGATATATTTTTTCCCCAATTTCTGTTTAACAGAGAGATTTTTTTCAACACATTTCTAAACATAATAGTTTTAATAACTCATTTCTAATAACTGATTTATTTTATTTTGCCATGATGACAGTAAATAATATTTTATTAGATATTATTCAAGATACTAGTGTTCAGCTTAAAGGGACAATTAAAGGCTTAACTACGCTAATTAGGTTACCTAGGCAAATTATTGTATAATGATGGTTTGTTCTGTAGACAATCAAAAAAATATTGCTTAAGGAGGCTAATAATATTGACCTTAAAATGCTTTTAAATAAATTAAAAACTAATTTTATTCCAGCCAAAATAAAACAAATAAGACTTAAAAAATATTTAAAAATATTATCAGACATACTGTGAAAATTTCCTTGCTCTATTAAGCATGTTTCGGGATGTGATGGAGGGCTAATAATTTCAACTATATGTATATAAACAGTGTTGTTGTTCCTCAATCATTTTCACACAGACATGAATCTTCAGGGTTACCCTGCGTGCGTCCTGCACATTACTCCTGTGTGTTATATAAACCCTGACAGAGTAAACTGACCCGGGATGTCCGATCGCTCCATTCACATGGTTATGCTTTCAAAGCCCTGAAGCTGAGCTACAGCAGACCTCCACAACAGCCTCCTCAATTACTGAAATAACACCCAACACCACCGCAGATCCTGATGAGTTAATATTTCAGGACGAGTGTCTGTGGAGCGTCTGGATGAGAAACGAACCGCGCTGACACACAAACAAGCCCCAACCGACACGCTTCTCACACATTCGCTGATGTAGCACAGGCTCAAGCCAAACTGGGGGTGAGATCTTGTGTTACGTGTGTGTGTATGTGTGTGTTTATTTATTTATTTATTTCTAAGAGGATGATCTCCCAAATGATGATATGAGGAATGCTCACCTTCCAGTTCCTCAGGTGACTTCGGGTAGGTGTGGCCATGTACTTCTCCAGACTTCTGCACAACGTGCCATCTAAAGAGGAGAAGATGTTCATTTCATCTGCACGTACATATCATTGAGTTACATAAACAGTTGAAGTCAAAATGATTCGCACTCCTGTGAATTTTTACAAATATTTCCCAAACGATGTTTAACAGAGCAAGGAAATTTTCACAGTTTGTCTGATAATATTTTTTTCTTCTGGAGAAAGTCTTATTTGTTTTATTTTGGATAGAATTAAATAAAAAAAAAACATTTTAGGGTCAATATTAGGGGTGTAAAAAATAATCGTTTTTTCGGTGCACTGCGATGCAGACGCGGACAATTTAGTATCGGTTCAGTGATAATCATAACCGGTTATTACTGACGTCATTTACCTCATATGCGCTCTGTCGCGAGGGAGGCGATCGCGAGTATTTACAGCGCTTTAACTACTTATGACTCATATAAACTGTGCACAATTTCACTGTGTGTGTTTGCTGGATCAGTCTTTCACTGACATATACAACAAAAGCCCCTATTTCACTGAGATCGAGAGAATGGCTGTTTCTCAATTCCAAGAACGCAGAGAACGGACTTGCGTTCTTGTAGAGTGCGGTCTTGCCAGGTGTCCTCGGAAGTACGAACTCAGGAGACCGCGAGGGCAGAGAATGCGTCCTTTGAGAAATGGGATGCTGCGTTCTTCCTGATGGTCATGTGACCTTCACGCGTTTTAAATGGAAATTAATTAAACATTACAGCCTTCATACAACGATTTATTGTTTCCCCCCTCTTCAAAATATATACTTTGCATAAAAACATTATAAATATACTCTGCACGATATAAATAAAACTAATTTTAATACGAATTTCATCAAACAAACACAATTAATGTGTTTATTCCTTTATTAAGATGTTCATGTTAATGTTTACCTTCACCGTTTCATTTAGGGAAACTCCTGAGGTAAATAAGTAATATCTCTGAACTTTAATAATAAATCTAAATAAAATGCTGCGCTTCCCACCTCCAGTTTCAATGACTTCTGGGACTTCCAGAGCGAGTTCGGTGCTCAAGTCTGCATCGGTGCGTCCTCGATATCAAGAACACTTCCGGGAAGTTTCACGCGTCCTCCGTACTTGCGGTCTTGAGTATTGGAACTGAACTTAGGCAGCTGATGATGACGTTTCACGAGAACACGAGGACGCAAGACCGCTGAAGAACGCATATTGAGAAACAGCCAATGAAAGTAGCCTACTCCATTTCTCTCTCTCTCTCTCTCTCTCGCTCTGTCTCTCTCTCTCTCTTTCTCACACACACACAGTGGCCCATTTGACCTGCTGGCGGGGCTTTTCTTCTCTTCTCGGCTGTTTTACAGCGTTTCTTTTGCATCCAGAAACGAGCGCGTGTCTGCAGAGTTTTCTCCACCAAGTCTATTATACATCAGCAGTGAGATCGCCGCAGCCGCCTGCCTCTCAGTGTCACTCATTTGTGAAAAACGCAGCGCTCAAGAGCCAATCGCAACCGTTTTTTTTTTTTTGAGGGTGTGACCAATCAAAGGGGTGTAAGAGAACTAGACAAGGATCAGAAATTGAGCTGGATGTTTATATTTGTTTATATTATTTGCTTAATGCTCGTTTTGTTTAAAGGTACAGTTTATATATCTGACTGTTTGTATTAAATGACAAAATTGTATTACAAATAGTATATAAATATATTCATACATTTTAATACAAGAAATGCTGCTGTGAAGAAAATATAAAACTGTGTATGGAAAGCACCGTCAATGCACCGTAATGCACCGAGATATCGAATTGAACCGAATCGATGGCATGATAATCGTAACCGAACCGAACCGTGAGACTAGTGTAGGTTCACACCTCTAGTCAATATTAATAGCCCCCTTAAGCAATATTTATTTGATAGTCTACAGAACAAACAATTACACAATGATTACCCTAACTTGTCTAATTAACCTAGTTAAGCTTTTAAATTGCACTTTAAAGGGTTGGTCCAGAGTGTATTTTTAAGGTGTGGTTGTGTTTATAAGACGCAAAGCAATGTGTGCTCATCATTTATTAGTAGAAAATCAGGATGTTTTTTCATATATCTTCCTTTGATTATATACAGCTACTCTGCTCACATGAAAACCACTGTCATATTTCCTGGTTCCTCTGAAAGGCCCGCCCTCATAAGCTCTGATTGGTCAGCTAACATGATGTGCTGTGACTTGCGGATTGGCTCCACATCACCAGTAAAAGCGTAATGCCTCTACAAGCATGCGCTTTTACGCTGTGTAAACACTGTCAGTTAGGCATGTCGCACACCGGATGCGCTGGGACACGGCACAGACATGACAGTATCGCACATCAGACGCGCACATTTGCATGGTATTTAAAATAAAACTATTCAGATGGCGCTCTGTGGTGTGGCAGAAATTTGAACAGTGTCCTTAGTCGTGGCTGGGCAGATAGCTGCTGACTTGCAGCGCTGGTGTGCATACCCTGATAGATGCAGGGCGTCGCAGATGTCCGACCCCCTTCAGAGTGGCTGTTAGCCATATCAGTTTGAGTCTGAATCAGATAGAAAATGACAAAGAGGACACAGCTAAACCTCAAACCTGAAAATAAAAACTTGAAGAATCACATGTACATCAGTATTCACAGCCTTTGCCGTGAAGCTCTAAGTTGAGCTCAGGTACATTCTGTTCCCACTGATCATTCTTGAGATGTTTCAGCAGCTTCATTGAAGTTCACCTTTGCTAAATTCAGTTGATTGGACATGATTTGAAGAGGCGTACACCTATCTATATAAGCTCCCAAGGATTGACAGTGCATGTCAAAGCACAAACCAAGCATGAAGACAAGGGAATTGTCTGTAGACCTCTGAGACAGGATTGTCTCGAGTCACAAGGCTGGGGAAGGTTACAGAAACATTTCTGCTGCTCTGAAAGTTGCAATGAGCACAGCGGCCTCCATCATCTGTAAGTGGAAGATGTTTGGAACCGAACCGCCAGGACTCTTCCTAGAGCTGGCCGGCCATCGAAGCTGAGTGATGGGGGAGAAGGCCCTTAGTCAGGGAGGTGATCAATAACCCGATGGTCACTCTGTCTGAGCTCCAGGGTTCTTCTGTGAAGAGAGGAGAAACTTACAGAAGGACAACCATCTGTGCAGCAATCCACAAATCAGGCCTGTATAGTAGAGTGGCCAGACTGAAGACACTCCCCGCCTAGAATTTGAAGGACTCTCAGACCATAAGAAACAAAATTCTCTGGTCTGATGAGACTGAAATTGAACTCTTTGGAGTGAATGCCAGGCGTTACATTTAGAGAAAACCAGGCAGCGCTCATCACCAGGCTAATACCATCCCCAATACCAGTGAAGCATAGTGTGGGCAGCATAATGCTGTAGGGATGTTTTTCAGCAGCAGGAACTGGAAGACGAGTCAAGATAGAGGGAAAGATGAATGCAGCAATGTACAGAGACATCCTGAAAGAAGGACTCAGACTGGGACGATGGTTCATCTCCAGCAGGACTATGACTCAAAGCACACCACCAAAATATCAATGGAGTGGCTTCACAACAACTCTGTGAATGTCCTTGAGTGGCCCAGCCAGAGCCCAGACCTAAATCCTAGTGAACATCTTTGGAGAGATCTGAAAATGGCTGTACACCATCGCTTCCCATCCAACCTGATAGAGCTTGAGAGGTACTGCAAAGAGGAATGGGTAGAAATTCCCGAAGACAGGTGTGCCAAGCTTGTGGCATCATATTCAAAAAGACTTGAGGCTGTAATCGCTGCCAAAGATCCATCAACAAAGTATTATTTAGCAAAGGCTGTGAATACTGATGTACATGTGATTTTTCAGCTTTTTTATTTAAAATAAATTTGCAACAATTTCAAAAACTCTTTTTTTTACATTGTCATTATGGGGGACTGTGTGGAGAATGTTGAGGAAATTAATTAATTTAATCCATTTTGGAAGGCTGGAACATAAAAAGTGGAAAAAGTGAAGCGCTATCAATACTTTCCAGGTGCACAAGTCCTGTGATTGTGTATGATTTATTACTGTGAAAATGTTGGTCTAAAACAAACTTCTCTTTCAGTTTTTTTTTTTTTTTTTTTTTACAATTTATTGTATTTAAAATATTCTGCAGAAGCACTTGGCGGTTCATTCCGCCGTGGTGATGCCTGATAAATCAGGTACTACGCCGAAAGATATTGATAACCTACACAGAATTGCCAATTCTGACTCCAGAAAACTGTTAGTTCTGTGGAAACACCCAGAATTGAATGTGTGGCACTAAGTCTGCTCTAATAAGACATTCCACATAAATCCACATTATATCATCATTAATCGCAAAGCTGGAGGGTTTCCTTGACCACATGTATGAACACGCACACACACTCAAAGACTTTCTCCTGCTGCACGGAAACTGCATTAATTTCAATGAGGCTGAGAGAAAACAATTAAACAACAGGTTGTGATAAAAAGCAATGCCTACACAGTGTCAAGCACACTTTATCTTAAAATAACACACTATTGCTGAAGGCTGTTGTGTGCATTGATATCACTGACTAATATAAAGGTTAGAAAACTACAACCATCCATCACAACTAAAGCTGAAGTGAGTAAAGTCTGAAGGGTTCAGTTTGGTTACAAGCAACCCACATAGCAAAATTTCTCTGGCCCAGCTCTGGCCCACACAATCAGGTTTTGCTTGGCCCACATGCCGCTGTGAATTACTGTACATGACTGGACCAAATCTGGCTTCCAGACAAGGGCCAAACATGGACCATATCTGGGCCAAGTCTCAGCCAAGTTAATAACTCATAACTGGGCCTGAACTGGGCCAGATAGGTTGGTGTGTCATGATTGCAATGAAATTGATAAACCCATAGAGTGATGCGCTTTAGGCACACTATGGGCACGCTTTTTCTCAAAGTGACCTGATTGGTAGAATTTTTTTTCTTTACTCGAAAATGATTTTAGTGTATTTTAAATGTGGGTCAAGACTGGCCAAACTCACATGGCCCACTTATCAAATTATTAAAT